GAGAAGGAGTTTAGAGTAATGATGGTGAAGATGTTCAGAGAACTCAGGAGTACAGATGCACAGGGGGAAGTTTTTAGTAAAGAGTTAGAAAATACAAAGATACCCAAGCAGAGTTCAAGAATACAAATACTGAAATGAATAATACAATTACTGAAATGAATAATACACTTGAAGGAACCAAGAATGGACTAAATGAGGCCGACGAACAGATCAGTGAGCTATAAGACAGTTTAGTGGAAATCACTACCACAGAAAAGAAAAAAGAAGAAAGAATGAAAAGAAATGAGGATAGTTTAAGAGACCTCTGGGACAACATGAAGTGCACTAATATTTGCATAATAGGGGTCCCAGAAAGAGAAGAGAGAGAGAGAAAGGGCCTGAGAAAAATTCTGGAGAGATAATAACTGAAAACTTCCCAATTTGGGGAAGGAAACAGTCACTCAAGTCCAGGAAGTGCAGAGAGTTCTGCACAGGATCAACCCAAAGAGGAACACACCAAGGCACATAGTAGTCAAATTGACAAAAATTAAGGATAAGGAGAAAAAATTAAAACCAGCAAAAGAAAAGCAACTAACAACAACAAGGGAACTCCTGTAAGGTTATCACCTCATTTCTTAGCAGATACTTTACAGACCAGAAGGGAATGGCAAGATATATTTCAAGTGATGAAAGGGAAAAACTTACAACCAAGAATACTCTATCCAGCAAGGCTCTCATTCAGATTTGGAGAAATCCAAAGCTCACAGATACACATAAGCTTAAAGAATTCAGCACCACCACACCAGCTTTGTAACAAACGTTAATGTTAAAGGAACTTCTCTAGGTAAAAAAAGAAAAGGCTGTAAGTAGAAACAGGAAAAGTAATCATGAGAGAAGGAGGGTACAGATGCAGATATCTAAAATGCATTTGAAATTATGAGATCAACAACTTGAAACAATCATATGTGTATACACACACACACACACACACACACTCATACACACATACAGAGAGAGAGAGAGAGACTTCTATACCAAAACCTCATGGGAACCTCAAACCAGTGTAACTCTACAGTCACCAAACCAGAAGAAAAGAGAAAAAAAAGAAGAAAGAGAAAATAAAAAAGACCTACCAAAACCACCCCAAACAATTAACAAAAGGGAGTAAGAACATATGCATTGATAATTACCTTAAATTTAAATGGATTAAATACTTCACCCAAAGGACAGATTGGCTGAATGGATACAAATACAAGACCCATAGATGTGCTGTCTATAAGAGACCCACTTCTGAGCTAGAGACACATGCAGACTGAAAGTGAGGGGATGGAAAAAGATATTCCATACAAATGGAAATGAAAAGAAAGCTGGAGTAGCAATACTTTTATCAGACAAAATAGATTTTAAAATAAAGACTGTTACAAGAGGCAAAGAAGGGCACTACATAATGCTCAAGAGATCAATCCAAGAAGAAGATGTAACAATTGTAAATACATATGCACCCAACATAGGAGCACCTCAGTATATAAGGCAACTGTTAACAGATATAAAGGAGAAATGAACAATAATACAATAGTGGGGGAAACTTAACACCCCATTTACATCAATGGACAGATTATCTAGACAGAAAATCAATAAGGAAATACAGGCCCTAAATGACACATTAGACCAGATGGACTTAATTGATAACTATTGAGTAGTCCATCCAAAACCAATAGAATGCACATTCCTCTCAAGTGCATGAGGAACATTC